AATCGAGTGATGTTTTCAGTTATCCTAAAATCCATAGCTCTGCAAATCCACGTCAGCACACATCAGATCAATCATAATCATTAAATTCCACTATACACTATATCACGAGTATTGAGATACCAGCGTTTTTATCTATATCATTTAATTTTTATGCGACATTTGAAAGAGATTGATTTAAATCGTAGATTACAATTCTATTAATGGGCTCAAAGAATATTAAACAACTCACAAAGTATGCTATAAAAAAATCAAAATATCTTCTAAACTATTCATTTTTAAATATTTACCCTAATATTTCTATACACAGAATAATGAAAAGAATAAAATTTATATTTAAAAAAAGTATATAATTTAATTTAAAAAATCGAATTGATCATGAACTTTCCGAAACATCTTTATCCTTAAAACAAACTCATGCAGTATTTGATGTTCCTTTCGAAACAATTTAACTCTCGTATATACGCTACTTCTTTTGTTTGCCATACTTTCAGAGATAAATCTATTCATAGATTATAATAGGTCATCTTATATATTCACACACACACAAAATAATAAAAAGTAAAGATTTGTAAATTTCTTGTACATTAATTGATTCCAAATGTAATTTTGCTATAAATATTTTATTTATTTATATGAAATATATAACCTCTAGTTAATCTCGAGCATAAGAACTTATGGTTTCCCGCAGGTAGTCGAAAGAAAAATCCAGCAGCTACACTATTGTTTGTACAGTCCTTTATCAACTAAACCACAATCCTATTTCAACAATCTTTCTAAAGGTTGTAGCCATTATTTAACTGAAACAAACAGTACTAATTCAATGCTAATGAATCAGTACTGCCAGCTTTTGTCTTATGTGTAAATACATTTTGCAGAACACCTGGCTCTTTCACGAGATCTCATTTGTCAACAAAAGTATTACCGATAGATTTGTTTCCACGCATTTATTCACACATGTTGATTGCCGATAAATTCAATTAGCAAGAAACTAGTTGTGACTACTTTATTACTTATCAGCTTCTCGTTGTCCTCTAATCGCTGCATTCCTAGCCATATTTTATGCCTGTAAACAGATGAAAGTCACTAGTTGCAAGATCTGGGCTGTAAGGTGGACGATCAAGCTCCCATTGCACTATTCTAAAAGTTCAATGAGGATTTTTTGACCATTTTACAGCCAGGACCTAGCACCGAGGACTTTCATCTGTTTACAGGCATAAAAGTGTGGATAGAAATGCAGCGATTCGATGGCGACGAGGAGCTAATGAGCAGTGTTAGAAGTTGGCTGAGATTCCAGTTTGACGGCAGTGTATTTTGATGAGGGCATACAAAAGATTGTGCCGCGCTATGACAAATGCCTCAATTCAAATGGCGATTATGTCGAAAAACAGTATACATATGTAAGTAATTTTTGTATATAATAAAATATTTTTCCTGTTTTTATTTTATTTTGCAAGTCTACCGCAAGTCGATTTCCGAATAGCCCTCGTATAAACATTAATACTATAATGCTTACATTTACTTTTGAAAAGATTATCATAATATTAAATTAATAATATTTTTGTTAAAAAAGCAAGAGATTAATCTACATTATTGATGTATTTATGCGATTGTGTATCTACGAGTGATGACTTTGGAATGTTCAAATGTTTTATCTCTCTTTTACGTTTCAAATCATATCACTTTACATATCGGGGTCTTGAACCGTAGTAGCAAGAGCAGCAACTATAGATGTATTGGTGTCATTGACTTCGGATATTGTTAACGCGTTACTTGTAGAAAAGCTAAAAGAGATAGTAGAATAGTAATATTCAAAGAGCATTTCTACACTTAATTATATATATTTGATTATATATATGGAGTTTTTATTTGAAAATTTTAACATTTCTTTAATTCTTATATTATTTTAGTTATCGCATTATTACATTAGTATATTGTTAGTAAGTGTAATCCATGTTTTAATATACAAAGATAATTTAAATTTGCCTTAAATCATAAAAAATATTTCTAACGTACTATTATATGCAAAATTTCGCCGAAACTGCATGTTATGGCTCAACTTAAAAAAAAAATAGCAATATATTTTAAATTGTTAGAAGGGGAAAGGGGAGATTACTTACTTCCCTTCTTCCCCCTTTCTTTCCTTATCCTCTTTTTTTATAATTATATTCTAACTCTAACCGAAATATTACAAAATGTCCTTCTTTATGTGTGGTTTGGTTTTGCATAAAATAAAAAATATCCAAAAAGATCTATTATTGTCAATTATGTGATTGTAATTTAAAATTTACTGATTAATTAACTTTTTTTACAATAAATTAATTATATTAACTTTTATTTAAAATCTGTAGAATTCTCTGTTCTATATACATGATCATAAATAAAAACAAAACACAAAAGAAAGTGTCGCATTATTAATAACAATGACATTAAAATACTGCTTTTATTAAATGTTTCGAATTAAATTACAAATCCTGTTTATCAATTTTAAAATAACAATAAAATATCAATATTAAAGTAACAATAACTATATTATAAGAATTATTTTAGATTTAAATCACTATTGTTTCATGAATTATACATTCTGCTACATTTTCATAAACTATAATAACTCATAAAATTTGGTTATGTTCCAAAAATTCCAAAGTTTTATTTGGGAATGTATCGTTTTGAAAATATGTTGTATTTTTGTATATGTGCGTTTATTGTATACATATATTTTTTTTCTCATAATATACATGCTATAAAATATCTTTTTACATACTTTTGCTTTTTTCCTCTTTCTCGTTATATCAAAATTTTTGATAAATTGATTTCTTAAATAATGTTTTAATTGTTATAAACGCACATTTTATACGCACTCTGCGCGTGTATGTTATATTATGATACTCAATGTTCTTGATAAGATTTAACTAGTGAAATGTCATTTTTTGAAAATCTAAAATTTATTTAAATTTGAAATTAATAAACAGGACTTCTACTTTAAATTTATTATTTATATATTAATTAATATCAATTTTATAAATATGTAATTAAAAATTGTATATAAATTATTTTTACATTCGTTGATTAATCTACACCTCTGTAACGCAGATAATGTAGATGTATACATAAAGTGAAATTCTTGCGGTTTATGCTATGCAAAAATATGTATATAACCTGCATATATATTCTACTATATATTATTTTTTTGTGTTAAAAACATATAATATACGCATAATATGTATAATATATGTGTTTGTAGATCAATGTTAATGACAATTAAACAAAAAAATTGAATTAATTATTGATAGCCGTTTTTGTTTCTTCCCTTTCTATCTCGTATCCAATTTTTTTATAATCGACATTGAATTAAAAAAGGACAAACTCTTCCAGCGATAAGAACAGGGGCATCCGGGACCCAGTAAAAAAGGTCAAAGGTTTCTACTGAAGAATGAATACAACATACTTTCCATGAATGTTGTGTCGAACATAATTATATCAATGCTAATGTTATTTTTTGGAGAAATTTATTAATCTAACCTAACCTAATTCTACCTTTATTTATGTTATTACACTGTAGGTATGTGTATTCTCTATCAATTTCCGTATAGCCAGACATTATATCTTATTTAATAATACTCAACACAAAAGTAATCTTCAGTCAAGTATTTACACACAATACTTTGATACAAAAGAAATCTCTGATAGAGAATACACACATACCTACAGTGTAAAAACAAATAAAGGTAGAATTAAATTAGATTAAGTCAAATTTTTTTGGAGTGGGGATACAGGGGAGAGGTTCTTCCCCTCATCCCCATGTGTTTACTTTTTAGATGTACATAGTGTAATACTAAATAATTATCAGCTCATCAGTTTTCTAAAATATAATGTCTAAATGCATAATTGTAAAAAATTAATAATTCGACCGCTTTTAAAATATCATTAAATTATTAAACCATTAAAATGTAGCACAAAATTAGTTTAAAAAATTAATTTTTTTGTAAAGAACTATTTTATATACTTTTATCATAAAACCACTTGATGACTTTTTCTCAAGAATGATATATAGTTTACCCGCTTTTAAAATATCATAACTCGTAATTGTAGGTCGAAAGAAAGCTCCATGCAAATTTTGAGCCAAATCGGAAATAAAAATCCTAATATAGAAATTTACCAAAAAAGTCTCACATATACTAGAAATTTTTTAAATACTTTGAAATAATATAGTTTTAAATTTCTTACAGGGCAATAAAAAATAATATTGTTGATAAAAAAATAATGATAGTATAATTATTATGACTAATATGAGTTTGTATTTTCATATATTTTTATACAAATCAAAACAAAAAAATAGCTTACACCACTTTTGTTGCATGTTTATACATATAAATCAAACATGAATAGGAAATTTATTCAAAGCTTATTTTGCTACAAGTGCCTACTCTTGCTGTTAATCATATCGCTTTCTCGTTTAACTTCGCGATATAACTCCTTTTGTAATGCGTATCCTATTTAATACATTTACACGGCACTAGTCACATCATTATTATATAAACTGCAATAGAGAGTTATGTACCTGAAGATAAGATTTCACATACTCTGTTGACATAAGATTTATTTCAAATATAGCTCAATTATATTGAACATCTAACGATCGTACAATTAATTGGAAGGAAACATAGAATAAAATAAATAAGAAACTATTTACTATTAAATTTAATAGCATGCACTCATAGACACATATAATCTGCACACATTATATATATATTATGATGTATATATGTATACATATAAGAATATATAGAAGTATTATAAAGATATTGCAAACATAACTGAATTGAGTGGTAACATAAATAGTTGGTTCTTCAACCACGATTTTAATAGTATGACAAATATCCATATAATAAATAAGACATGAGAGAGAGACTAATTACACTAATTATTATTTAGATCATGCTATATATAGGTTGTATACATTGACACACATAATTTGATAATATTAATTAAATTATGCTCACCTAGCATGATCGGGTCCATCGAAAAGATGTTTAATCCAGCAACCGTCGGCTACATATAAAGTAAATCTTTGTGTTGCGCGTAGTATTCAAAGTACAATCAAGGCTGGTTTTTCGTTGATAATCATCTGCCATGTGCGTTATGTTTTTCCGAACATAATTTTGATACAATTTTAATCTCTTGTGCATACAATATTTGAGTCATAAATAATGAATAATTCAATGCGAGAAAGTATTGCAAAAAGTGCATAAATAATTATAAATTAATATAGGTGAAAGAATATCTCAATATCTCGGATAACAAAACTGTAAAGATCTAAAAATTCCAATATAAAATTTATAGTTACAAACATATCGCTTGATATATGTGTAACAAAGAAAACGATACGCATAGTACACGCGCGCACGCACACATAAACACATACGTATACACAAAAGTTTATAATTTTGATAATATAAATAACTGTCATACATACACCATTATAATCTTGATATTCACAATATTTCAATTTTTCGATATATTTGCGATTATTTCATAAACTGTAAATGTATATACTTTAATAAATTGCCGTACACACATAAATATACTTTAAAAATGTATATAGAGTAAATTGAATAAATTATATTTTAATAAATAACAGTTACATAATTACAACAAATCTTAAAATAGAAAAAACAGTAAAAAAAAATAAATAACTGAAAGTATTTTGCGATATTATACACATCTGTGGTAGTGCAAAAAATGCAATGATAATACGCAATATGTAGCAACAAATAAAAGCGCGGACCTAACAAGATAGATTCGTAAACTATTACACCGCACCGTCCTGCTTCCATACACATGAATCGTAACATTGGCAAATCAGTAGACGAAAAAAGAAGCACGAACACAGTCAATAGCGCGCGGCTCGCCCTTCGCTGCTTCACTGACTGAAGCGACAGATTTACCAGAGCAGCAATAAGAAATCCCTCTACACGCCTCTTAAAGCACATAGTCTCTGCCTAAATGTGTAACGTTCTCATACATACGCATTCTTATAATAAAATGTTTTACACGAGCATTTAAATTAATATCGACCGAAATTAAAAAAAAAAAAAAAGAAAAAAAGAAAAAAAACATTTATAGATGAGCTATAAGCTCCGCCTTCATGCATCCACTCACTCGTATTATATCTATACGTATGTGAAATATTGAGAGAAAACTAATTTATGAAAGCAAGACAGAACCGTAATTTGAGGAGGCCACAAGTGGCCTCTTAAGCAGCTTATTGGTGGACGATCATATAAAATGCATTCGATCCTACAGTATTCTTATATGCGTGATGCACATTTATTTACACGCTCGCGCATAAACACTCATGCGCACGCTCGACTGAGCGCAATCGAACGATAAAGCCAGAGGATTGGGGAAGGAGGCTGGCCATACTTAAGAGGCGGAGTCACATTCGCATGGGCTATTGGCGACAGCACTGCAGCGTGAGCGACCATAGTTTACGCCTCTTCAAGTGTACCTACCTGATCTCTATCCACATTTTGCTTGGCGCTAAGTACTTGGCTCATGAAACTGACGCATGTGATAGCATGTGCGCTTGTATAAACTGTTGATGCTCTGTTTGTGACATCAAATAAAACATACGAAAGTAGTGTAATGTAACATTTCTAAATATACGTACTATAAAAAATAATATTTTTAGCTTTTTATTTAAATGCTGTTTTAAAAAATATTTTATAATATAACAATTCTTTTTTGTGGATTATCTTTTTTGTGGATTATTGCTTTTTATCGATTTATATACAATGTGTGTGTATTAAAAGATTAAATATTATTTAAAACAAAATAAAATTTTATAACACCACTTTCTCTTTAATATGAGATCAATGCTGATAATTTATTATTAAAAGTATGTGAATCTTTTAGTTATTGCATTAAATGTAAAATAACAATTTATATCATAACAATTTTCTTGTTACAACTTTAACATACTTTTGGTAACATTGCAAGCATTATGACAGCAGATATTTTTTGTAACATTGCAGACATGTACATAACAGCGGCGCGTATGATGTGTGACGGGCCTTCCTTTGAAATATGAATATTTCCTTTTTGCTCTGCGGCGGCGGCAGCCAGTGACGATGAGATGCTCCGCCCCGATATTCTGTTATATTAGTTAAAGGAACAGTTCCTCCCAAAGAATAGGGGAACTTATATTATTTCTTTGGAAATCGTTCAGTGTCAACTTTCTACATTCTCATTAAAAACGTGCCAGAGTTTGGTACTATTTTAGAGGGAAGGGGGTTGTCTCTTGTTAATTATTCTTATAAATTATTCCCTTTATGTGATAACTCTTTTTCTTTTAGTACAGTTTATTATTATAAAAACTAAACATAAAATATAAAAATATAAAAACTGAACATTTATAATATCATTTATAATGTCCTAGAATATCAGTCACAGATTATTGACAAATGGCTTTTAATATATAAATATTATAAACTGGTAGAGCATAAAAATATTATGCATTATTAGAAATTATTATATCATGTAAAAAATATTCACGAAAATAATTTTGTTTATGAGTGGTTCACAAAGTTTCGAGACGGCAGAGAATCGCTGGAAGACGACGAGCGCAGCGAACGGCCATGGACCAGTCGAATGGGCGAAACCGTAGAAAAAGTTCATGAATTGATCAAAAAGGATCGTTGCGTATTGGTGAGACTCATCGAGAATATCACAGGAATTAGCAAGTCACAATTTAACATAGAATTTGGTTCTTTGTCCCATGGTGATTTCTTGACGAGTGTCAAAGGGATAATTTCATTTCTGCCCCTATAGTAAATCAGCTGTTAGTGGGATCTCGCGATCAAACTTACCAGAATTTTTAACGAAACTTCTATGAAGATAGCGTGACCTTGATTAAACTGATAGTGCTACTAATAACGTCTATACAAAGAAAGTTCGGAAACTCCTCTTTGAGGACAGATCGTGTATTTCTTGTAACAAAATAAAAAGCAATTAAGAGACAATATCTCGTATCAAATCATGCGCATTAGCAGCGAGGCATATCGTGTATTTACACGCGAATTGCTTAATTGTGAGAGCATCTTAAATATGTGATAGATTTAAGTAACGACTGAATCAAATTCAAAGAAGCTTAATCGATAACTTAGATCTGTTTTACATAATAAAAATGTCTTTATTTTTGCTAAACATCCTATAAACAAAAATATTGTTCAAAATCGCAATGTGTGTGAAAATGTTCATTATGCGTATCACATTCTCTGGTAACTCCGATTGACTCATAATCAGTGAAACGAGAAGTTCCAAGCGGGGAGCACACACTTTTGCATAAGCGCATAATCATAAGCATAAAGAAATTGATTTGTCCATTTCCTTATGCATAAGGAAATTGACCAATCAAATTCCTTATGCTTATTATTATGCGTTTATGCAAAAGTGTGTGCTCCCCGCTTTAGATTCGAGCTTCATTATAGGTTACGCATAAGTGTGTCTATCTCAGCTTCTCATTGCATACTGGATGTGGAAAGCATTGAGAGAAAAGAGAAAAGAAAGAAAAGAGAAAAAATAATAAAAAGAAATTCTGGAAGCCGCTATAAACGTGACATGTGTATATAATAATTGTGACGTCGATTTTTTTTAGGAATAATGTGCTGTTATTATTTTTTTAATACGATAGTATGTTCATGATCATGCATGTGTATTATGTCTCGATTATAATCTAATTTCAATCCAATCAACTTACAATATCAATAATGTTTATAATTCACAGTTTATAATTCAAAATTATCATTCAAATTATCGATTAATAGACTTTCAATTATCAATCACATGCCATATGGTTACGATTTCCGTTTTCACATAACGTCAATAATAAACATTTTTGAAACATTTCTTTTTCACACTGGAAAGCTGTTACACAAAAAAATATTCTATGAAATAATACTCCATGTTTTATGGAATAGCTTTGTGATTCGAATGAAAAATACTGTGGTTTTTCTTGGTAGTTCTAAATGTCTTTAAAATATAATTTAAATACTTTAAATACTTATATTTTAAGATATATTCGTGTATTTTCAAAGACATGAGAATCTAATAAATCATTTGTACATTCTTAAACATCACAGGTAAGATTATGTGAACGAAATTATTAATGGGAGGGAGGTTGCTGTGACAAATTACATTTATAAGTGGAAAATAAACTTAGTTTCGACGAAAATTGAAATAAATAATAGAAATCAATGAGGCTCTAAATATTACAAATAAATTAAGTAAATAATGGGCAAATAAGAGCCGAGCGCAAGGTCATAAACTCAATAAACTAAGAGGAAATTTATAGAAAAGAAAAAAATTATAATTAATTGATATATTTAGATTTTTAGATGTTTCAATCCTACTTCGGCATCATAACTATGATAGTGTGATACATTTTATTCAATTACTGAAAATGACCCGAAGTTTAGCCGCTTCTGCCCGCTGTTCGCACGTATCTTCTCGTCGTGCAACCAAATTTTTCATTGCCGTGCGACACTAGCACGTGCCGCTAGCACGTGTAGAGCGTATGTACATACATATACATATATTCCAGTCTCGCCGCGCAAAAATGCGCGATCATTCGCCAATCTTTTTTAATTATTATTTCAATAATTGCGAAAATTGCAAAATGGAAGAGAACTTTTCTGTTCAGTTATTACGCTCTATCCGCTTACGAGCGTTGGTACAATCTTTATTAAACACCCTGTGTGCATGTGTGTGTGTGTGTGTGTGTGTGTGTGTTTACACGATCTATTCCAAAAGTTTCCGAACTTTCTGTGTACAGACCGTTTGGGACAGATATGTATATACATATATACGTGTGTATATATATATACATATATGTACGTATATACTATTATTATTTAAAATCTTAGCTAATCATATTTTAAATAGTTTTAATAAAAAAAAATATATTCATCCGTTACAGTTTTTATGATAACAAATGATATACATATACTAATCAGTCACAACGAAAAAAGGAGCTTTTTGACGTGGGATCTAAAGCAAAGCCCGTATTAATTTGTTTAAACAGCAAATTAACGATCGTTGTTCAATCTTATTAACTTATCATAAAAATCACACATATCGTATAATATCTTTTTGATTTTAAATATTACAAAGTAAGAAAAGAAATCGCAAAGTAAGAAATATATGTCGCTTGTTTAAATATTAAATTTCAAGAATATAAAATGTTAATAAATGTTTCATTTTTAATATATATATTACCGTTTTAATTTGAACAGACTTTTAATTTAATGCTTAAATAACAATAATTTAAATTAATATAAAAAGAAAATTATTTAATAATAATTTTTCATTTATAATTTTTGTTATTACGAGAGAAGTCCATTTCAAATTTACAACAGCAGAAAAACAGGTGAGAGAAATATGAGCTAAGTTTAAAACTACACATATTGTATTCCTTATGCATTAACTTGGTTTTTATATAATACAATTTTTTCAGTATGTACATGCCCGTGATACAAACGTATCTCCATTATTTAGCAAAATACTTTTTATAAAGACTAATCGATTGGCAAATATTAGGGCTGCTCGCAACCTTTAACCTTAAAAGCAATTAATCAATCAAGTACACCCTGCACTATACGTGCTTAATTTAATCTCACATACGCACATAGAGTATGCGCGCGCACGCGCACATGTCTCTCTCTCTCCCTCTCTCTCTCTCTCTCTCTCTATATATATATATAAGGGCTGTCCATAAAAAAACCGAATTTTAAAAAAGTGCCACAAGGCAGATTGCCTTACGTTATCGCATTCGGGTGCTTTTTTAAAGTTCGGTTTCTTTATGGACAGCTTGTATATTTAATATATTTATTTACATAATTGCAATTATATCATAAAGATATTCCAACTTCGTAAAAATTTCGATGCAAAAAAATTAAAACATAAAACGCAATACTTATGTTAGCCAAAAATATATGATACAATCTCTTTTTTATTAAATGTTAATATGTGATAAGTGCGTAAAGATAATAATTAT